CTTAAGTATAAAAGATAGAATAGCTGCATAATGACTTCTAGTTTTTGGCACTAAGACCTCTTCCATCTAGAAGGACCTATGTGCAAGCCTCATCAATTAGTTGTGCCTGAAACAAACAAGCAAAATCCATGTGCATTATGTTCTTAATCCATCTGGGAACTTGGATAGAACTCTTAGGGCAGGATGGGTCATTTGTTTTTATAAAATCAGCAAGGCAGTGCCCTGGATTTCCGATAACAATGTGATGACACAAAGTTCACTGGAAATTTTCTGCACAACTATGTTTAGAAACATATGTATTAAAAATGCCATTATCTGTTGGGGAATGAGGCTTGCTTGCATTTAGTCTTTGGTATGCTTTTCATCTGTGCTGTCATTACAAGGAGGTGTGAACAAACCCAAGCAGATGGAAAATGACACCCAGAGTGATTAATTTCTGACATGTGAGCTAGTGGCATTCTTAACAAAGCTACGGTTCTTTGTTTTGCTTTGGAGCATACTTATCTTGACTTCTGAGCCAGTTTATGGAAGCAACAAACAACTTGAATGACTCTTGTACAGTCTCCAAAATAAACATGGCTGCTTTAATTAATCCTGCTTGTATCTAGGTCCAAACAGAAAGGGAACAAATGAGGAATCAGGCCCTCTCTTTCTCCAGAGGCCTGTAAGTGTGATTCAGTCGTGTTAGAATTCTGTACTGATAATGACCAACTTTTAAACACATAGATGTTTTTGTTGCTTGGTCCCTTATCAAAATATTGATATCAAAGATGGCTCCTGCCTTCTTTTGGACTATGAAGAGCTGGTGGTGAGCATGCACTGATTTTATTCAATTTTCACAGTTCTCCAGATCATCATCTGAATGGTGCAAAGTGTTCCCCTTTCAGAAATCTTCGCTGCCCATGCAAATGACCAGCCAACCCATTAGGGTAATAACTGCTTATCTTTATCCCTATGGAATCCCTTTGCACTAATGGTCAGATGGGCAATATTAATTGTTTTGAAAGATCTATAATATCAGTATACGTAGCTCTGGATCAAGACTTATTTTTCAAGTTAGTTTTGTAGAATGCCTGAATTCAGCATATCCAAACTGTGTTAACAAGAGACATTTGCTCTAAAGAAAGAACTAAAACAAGAATAAAAGCTTAAAATGCCAGTACAGTCATTTTGTTTGGTGGGGGGACAAAGCAAAACAAAGCACCATTTATTTTCTTCTTTTCCATTAAATGTCATATCATTATGATTGTCCACTATGTGTTGACATAGGAAAACACTATTCTTGCCCTCTGAAATTTTCTTTGAAGCAATAAAAAAAAAACATATTAAAACTATGGGAGGATGAAGAGGTCAGTGACCTGCACAATGGAAAACCAGAGGAAGCAGAGAGACAAGACTAGAAGATTGTTTAAAAAAATAGTAGAGTCAAATCCAAGGATGGTTTATCATTTCTTTTAATGACATGTTTACATGTTTGACAGTGAGTAGAACTGCAATTATTTCAGGAAGGAATTAATTTCACTGCATCAATATGTCATTTTATGTAGAATATTTACTTATATATTACAACTAGAGTAGTGTAGGGATAAAGAGTGTGGCTTCATGCCAGGAAACTCCTCCTCCTTTCATAAGGAGTTGCTGGCCCAGCAGAAGAGCAGTGCGTGAGAAAAGCAAGCACAGGCTCTTCGCAAGACATTTTTAATTTCCTTTTAGAATTTGTACACTACATCCTGTATTTTCCTATTTGCTATATTTCCCATAATATAATACTCTAAGTGGTGAAACACTCTGGCCATGTGAGAAGTATTCCACTAGTAAAACACTAGTAAAATCACCTTGGCTGCATTGAAGCTGCTGCAGAATGCCTTCATCCTGCGCCACTGAAGTCATATAAAAAGAGGCCTGAGAGATTCATTTTTATTTCATCTTTGTTAAATTTGATCCAAAAAACCTGAATGGTTTCTTAGACTAAGGATCAGCCCAGTGCAAATCATGCTAGGCCATTTTCTGTCTGGCAACAATTGCATCTTTGGAGGCACCTGCTAAGACATAGCTGCAAATTTGTTTGGTAACCCAGAAACTGCAATGATGGTACCATTTGGTTAAGAGAGTCATGAAACATCTCTGACTCCATGAGACTAATGTACATTGAAAGGCTGATTGGAAAAAAATAATTTAAGAAGATGAGATACTCAAACAGAAGTAGCTATTCCTATTTTATTTATTTATTTTAGGCAAATTCTTAAAAGTTACACATGCACACACTCTCACACATGACACCCAACTGCCAGAGCTGTTCATGCATTTTATTAAGTAGGCTAACCCTTTCTTATGGATGCTCCTTCTAAAATAAATTTGTGAGCATTTAAACTGTCATAGAACTTTTATTGTTATTTTTGTTGTGGTTCCCATTTCCCTTCAGAGATTTACGAGAATACTGTGGAAGACTTGTGGTGTTCCTAGCATGGCCTAGGAATTCCTAAGAGACCATGCTGCTTTCTAACAGTTGTGAGAAAATATTGCTCTGGATTATTAACCCACATAGATACTGCTTGCTTAAAAGAATACATGGTCCTGAGAAAACCACTTTTAAAAACGGAAATTAAAGAAATAGCTCTGTGAAACTTGAAGTCTTTCTTCAAAGTACGTAATTCTATATAATAGTAACAGACTCATTCTCTTGCAGCCACAAAGCATCACAAGGAGAAATCAGCATGCTTGGAGGAATCCATGATTTGCAGAAGTTTAAACAAGAAGTTTAGGGGAATATATGGCAGGAAAAATCCAAAAGCATACTACTGAGGACTATGCATACTCAATAGACTGCTATAAATTGGAGATGGGTGTGTGGCAGAAAATCAGAGAGAGATCCTCAAATGGAGTAACCTGCAAGATGGTATGACCTGCCAGCCAGAATGCTGAGCAGCAGTGCTCAGCTCTGTTAGCTGGCTGCAGATGCCACATGCAGTAAGCCTTTCTTCCCGTGCTGCAATCCTGGCAAAAATCCCTTTCCCCAGTTGCTACATGCTGTAAGAGGTTATTGATACCAATGGTCTAAAAAGAAGGAATGAAAGATTTCCAAGGTTACTTTTGTTTTTCGATCTGCCTTTTTGTTATGGCACAGATTTGATAACAATAACCTCAGAATGTCCTATACTTGTCCCCCTACTGCAATATTGTCATTGTGGTTGGTGGTGGTTCAGGGAAGAAGCCTTTCTCAGGCATGCTGTCTGAGATCCTCCATACTGAGATGCTGGGGAAAAGAATCAAAGCTGCGTGGAAAATGTTGGAGGACAGGGATGTCTGTCTCATGCATCCTGCCCTGGTCCCTCTAACCTAGCCTCTTGCTCTCAGTTGCCAGTCCAGTGGGCTTCTGTATGTGGGAAGTGGGTAGGGAGCCTGCACGTCAGGCAGTAAAATGCCTTGGGCTTGCCCTGCCTTTACCGGAGAAGTATGGATCCTCTAGAGTGGAAATAAATGCTTGTCAACAATCTTCCAAACACATTTCTTTCTAAGAGATACATTATCAACAATCAGTGACCAGGATGCTGTTATAACACACAGTAGTTCATACATTTAGCAGTAACCAGTTTATTTTCAAAATACTTAATTGTGTACAAAGATAGTTAAGAAATTCTGTTGATTATTTGGAAATTTTGGCACACTGGAATAATACTGCATATGGAACATAAAACAACATGTTTCTGAATGCAAGGGAATGAATATCTATGCTCTATCTGTTTAGATTCAAGATAGCAATTCAAAGAAACAGTAAATTTGAATGATTCACATCAAGGTCCTTTGTGATTGCTTTAAAATATTTTGTGCTTTAATATGAGTAAATTAGACTGCCTGCTTCAAGCTATTCTAACTAGCTTACTACAAGCAATTGCTGGACTAAAACTCTTAACATTACCTAATTTAGCATTTCTTTTCTAGGTCTGTTAACTGAAAATGAAATTGATCATAATCACATGTCCTGGTCCATATGGTTCTTCATTTTCTTCCTTAAAATGCACCTATTGACCAGAGCCTTCTGGTATCAGCCTAGGCTCCTCTTTTCTGTACTTCTCACATCTATCCTACCTCATACTCCCCACTCCTTTCTTTCTATTCTTATCCTGCTCCTATATTTAGATTGCATACTGTCTTAGGTGAAATTATTTATATCTGATATTTTTATCTTTCTCTTCATCCAGAAGAAAACTATCGTGATGTAGCCTGTTTTCAGTGCAACGCCAGATACATTCCTGATGATAAATAAATACTTAACAGGAGCAGAAGAAATAGGTCTGTGGAACTGATCATAATTCAGTCATTTTATTTTCCTTAGACTATTGACCGTTTTGAATCAATTGTGATACTGCTAAGTAATCACTAGGGTGAAGCTACTAGCTATGTAAAATTAATTTCCTGGCAAAGAAATCTTCTATGTAGGTTTAAATGTTAGTTGTGAAACAGGCATTCAGTGACAATTCACACTATTATAGTACCACCAAATTCAATAGGAATCTTGGAATCAGACACTTAAAATCTCCAGATGAGTTTTATCGGTTCATGTCCAAGTCTCTGCATAAGATCTCAGGTAACCTGATTTCATTATAATATAAGGTCTATACAAGAAGTCCATTTGTAGGGAAAATACAAAATAACATAATGCCCATTTTAGATACATCCTGGCTAAACTGTTGCTCCTGTATTCCTCTATATTCCTAAGGGCAAGTCCCATTTTGCTGAAGCAGATTCATATTTAAGCAGACATATATGGCAATGTAATAACCATCTATTAAAATTTCCATGCCACTTTTAGAATTTAGAATTGGATCTTGACTCTTTTTATGAAACACTCAGTTGTTGGCCATTACAACCATACCACTGCAGCCATTATGGGAGGAAATTAAACAACACGTTGTGCCGAAAGTTCAAACATCAGGGGTTCCGTGAATCCTTTGCAGAGTCTCATGTTCATCTTATTCATAATTCTCTTATGTTAAAAACATCTTGATACATGAATGCTGGTTTCTTCAAAATAAGTATGTTTGGTTTTCCCCCTGCTATTAAAAAAATGTCCTGTAACAGAAGAGGGAAAAGATCTTAATGTTCATCTTTGTCAAGCAGTCAAATGGCTTTGAAAAAGCAACACTGAATCACAATTAGAGAATTTTAGTGCTTACAGCACCGAAATCTTCAGAGCATGATTACAAAGAGTCATGCAAATCAACATGACAAGAACTTCAAACACACATACTGAGGATGAGTAACTGACATTTTTGCAGTGGGTTTAGCAAAGGTGAGAAACAAGGAAGTTAAAATTTGAGTGAGATTTTGTTTTTTGTGCTTCTGGTATAACATGAAAAGGAGAGTATGTGCTTTGCTCTTGTGATGAGATGCTTGAGCTGTTCCTTCAACTGCAGCTCATGCAACTTTCTGTAGAGACAAGGGGTCTCTCAGAAGCACAGGACAGGAAATAGGACTCTGTTGTACTTTGTCTCTAGCTTCTTCACTCTCTCGTTTATAAACAATACCAGGATTGGAACTGAAAAGCTTTGCATTAACCTTAACTGTTACACTTCCATGCCATATTTAGTTTTTAGAAACAGTGCAATCCTGTATTCGTCTACTCAGAAATAGGTCCCCTTGAATTAATCAGTTTCATTACTTCCAGGCAAGTGGGTATGACATTTCATTGGGAATAATTCCCATTGAATTCAATGAGATGTACTCAGAAAGCATTTATAGGATTGTACTGCAAGCAGTTCAGATAAACTATGTTCTAAAACATAGTCAAAGTGAGCAAGACACTTTGAAGAATCAGTGAAAATAAAATATAATCATGGCAGAAGATTTTAAACTACTTCTGAGTCACTCTGGAATGGAAAAGAAAGCAACACCAAAAAATTGCATGAATAGAAACATTTGTTCTTTTGACAAGTCTGATTTGGAGAATGTTATATTTTTAATTTAATTTGCATGGACTTGGAACAACTGTGCATTACAAAATGAAACCTTAGTCTAATTGTATATGCACTAAACATTTCTGTCAATGTATGATTAGCAGAGAGCCAGTGTGATGTGGTGGTTAGGAACACTGGACTGGAACTCAGGCAATTGGGTTCTATTCCCAACTTAGCCATGGAGCTAACTGGGTGACTCTCAGCCCAACCTACCACATAGGAGATAAGGCTGAGAAGAGGAGGAGAAAAATGATGCAAGTGGCTTTTAATTCACTGTAAGATAAAAGTGGGATAGAAATCTAAAATTGAATGAAAGAATGATGGAATTGGATCCAATGCTGGAAAGTGCTAGATTTTTCTGGGTGAAGGGTAGGGAAGGAGATAGCCATTAATCAGGTAATACAGAGTGAAAAAGAAATGAGGAAAATTGCAAGAGGAAGCTGACAACCACAACAAACTGGAAATTGTTAGAGGAAATGCCACTAGAACTCATTATAAACTATAATCATATATTTTCTTTTCTAAAGTATGCAGTATCAAAACCCAGAGTATATTTTGATATTTTTCAGAGGCATGCAAAATATAGGCAAATACATGCTTTGCAATGTACACATTTGCACAAAAATTTTTGTATCAACACCCAGCTCTGCTATTCACTGTGAAGAAATACTGCAGTGGTTACAGCTGCAGGAGAAACCCTTGTCTGTACACAGATGCACTGCCTTCAAAAGCCTTTCTGTTTAGGTTGGGCCTGACAGATGATGAAGAAATAGTAGGGCTAAATATACAGTCTATGAAAACACATCATAGGGATGAACATTATTTCTAGGCTAGCTTATACTCCTTTGATTCCTTTCTGCTAGTAGTGATTACAGCTACTATTTTACTGTTCATGGCTAGTGTAGGTTAAAATAGCACTGTCCCAGGCTGCTGTGGCTTACAGAATCAATGCTATGAAAGAGGTCACCACCATGGTGGGCACTGGGGAAGGTCTCTGACAGTTGTGGCCAAGTGCTACTTGGGCACTCTGAGGACAGCTGCCAGCTGTGCTCAGTAACTAGCCTCTTGGAAACAGCAACATCTTTTGCAATATTTTGCAACTCTTGCTGTATGGCTTGCTTGTTGTAGGACTTGACTCATGATAGGTTGTGTCAACTGGGTTCAGATGACATGACAACTTATTATGAGTCAAACAAACCCTATGACAGACCATTGGTTCCTATTATGGCTGTTAACCACAATAAGACCCAATTGTCTGTAACCATGGGTAAGCTTGTATGATATGACAACTAACCACTGCTTGTTTTTGCTGGTTGGCTGGTTAGTTGTCATGCAGATCTTGTCACTATGTTGGCTAATTACCAACATTCAAAAAGGAACTGGACAGTCATCTGAGTGGAATGGTGTAACTTGGTGTCCTGCAACAGCTGCGGGTTGGACCCAATGGCCTTCATGGTACCTTCCAACTCTAGTATTCAGTAATTCTACCATGCCCAGCACATTTAAAACAGTTTATTTGCTTTATGCATATCTTTCAGCGTGATGTCCCTGAGGATGTAGACAAATTGCTTGGAGAGATGAATCCTACTTCTTTTGCTTTAGATCCTTGGCCTTACTGATTTATTAAATTGCAAGTTCAGGCCTTTCAGTATAGATTTCAGAGATGGTTAATATCTCTTTATATTCAGAAATAGTGTAATTCCTACTGTTACAAAAGAGGCAGTTGCAAAACCCCTTTTGAAGAAATGAAGTTTTGACCTCAGTGATTTAAATAACTACTACCCTATATCTAAACTTGGGCAAAGTATTTAATTGGAGTATGTAGGAGTGTCTCAACTTGAACTGTACCTAGATGAAGCCAATACATTTCAGTTTTTTAACTGGCTTCAGGACTGAAACCACCTTGGTTTTCCTAGTGGATGACCTGTACAGACAAAGGGAGCATGACTTTGTTGATTCTCCTGGATGTCTGTGAGCTGCTCAGTACCACAAACCATGGTATCTTTCTGGGGCCTTAACCTGGGAAAGCTCAGACATACTGTTCTTCAGTAGCTCCAGTCTTTCCTTGAAGACCATTACTAGACTGTGGTGTTGGGAAATTGCTGTTGCCAAAACATGCATGGTGCAACGAAGATCCATCTTATTGCCAATGGTCCTTAATTTCTTCAAAAATCATGGGACCACGGCGTAGAACCACAATACCTGATGGAGCATCCCTCCCAACCAAAATTCTGGACATTATGCTTAACATGGAGGGTCTTCCTCCATGTGCCAACTTAGAGGGTAACTTGGAAGGCAGCAACAAGGAAAGCTTTCTGTGTGGTGGCCACCATCTGTGGAATTATGTTCCAACTCTGGCCCACCTGACACCACCTTGATATTTTTCAGTGTCAGGTTAAATGTCCTTTATAGTAAGGCTCTTAAGATGTAGTTGGTTATCTAGATGCTTGAGGCAATCAGCCATCCGAGGTGTTTTTCTTTTACAGTGTCATTTTTCACTGTATGTATTCAGTTGGTTTTAATTTTGTTAATGCTTCTTTTGATAAGACTTTATGCTGCTTTTATTGTATTGTTTTTATGTGCAGTTGTAACCGGCCAGACAGCTTCAGCTGTTGGTGGTACAGAAATAAAATAATGATCATAATAAATCACTTGCAGACTAAGGTTAAAATGTCATCAGCTTGCTGATCATCTGTAGCTCTACCTTCTGTTAGCACCTTCCAATTCCAGGGTAATGATCAATACCCTGAATGGATGTTGCCTTTGATAAAGATGATCAAATTTAAATGTAATCCATAGGGAGCAGATGCGCTATGGGTTTTCTAGCTGTCTAGGTATAGGTGCACAATCTGTTTTTGATAGCACAACTCTCTGCTTGAAGGACAAAATATGCAGGCTTGGGCATGCTCTTGGATGTGATTCTGTCACAATCAGCTATTATCACCTTCCAGAAGTAGTTGGTTTTGCCAGCTGCAGTTGTATGTACTGATTCAAATTTGGCCTCAGAGATGCCTTAGTCACATCTGGTCTATCAGAATGCTCCTTATGTTGGGCTGTAATTCATATAGTTCAAAAATGAGAAAAAGCATAGAATATACCTGCCAAAATGCTGGCTGATGCTCTGCTACCATGCCTGCATCCTGTGTACTGGTGGCCTATTGTTTCTGGCTCAGTTTAAAGTGCTAGTAGTACATTCCTTAACAGGACCATGCCCACCAGTATGAACCTTCTTGACCTTTCTAATTGGCTTCAAAGCCTACACTCTCTGGTCTGTTAGCAACAGAAATATGGTGGGTGGGCATCTGCTACAGACTTTGGTATTAGTGAAACCACAATTATGAAATACCCCTTTCAGAGATATCCAAGAAGCACCTTCTCTTTCTGCTTTTGGACTAGTGGTTAAGATTGTTTTATTTAGACAGGCTTTTGGAGTTTCATTTTCTTCTGTTTTCTCTCTTCTGCTGCTAGTGCTTCACTTGGTTACTTTATTTGCATTTACTGCTTTACTGATTCCTGCATTTGTGCTTGTGGTTGGTAATCCAGCTTAAAGATATACTTATCCACATACATGTTCCCATTTGGACTGGGTTGATAATTGTAGGTCATCATTACAACAGTTCAGAAGTATTTTAAAATCTTCAGACACTACAGAGCAGGTTTTATACTACATGATAATGCGGTTGTGCTTTACTGAACACTGTAAAGCTTTGGATGATTGAAATCAGCATTAGCACTGTCTAATCTCACTGTCCATGAAGATCTTATATGTTGGTCCAAAATCCTACCTGAGCAGCAAGAAGCCCTGATGAGCACATGAAGCTTTTGCATGTCAGAACTGCTTCATTTATTTAACAAAGTAAAATAAAGTCGTATCTCATTCCAAGTTGTGTGCCTGCATCACACTCCAACACATATAAGAAATCAATAGATGGGGTCATCGGATTTTAAGGGAATTATTTGTAATTCAGTCATAGTGAAGGGAAGAATTCTTTAATCTACAATTATGCCAGATGGAGGCATACATAGTAATTCATTTCCCAGGAAGGGTGATAAACTCTTTCAAACTCTTGTCCCAACTTATGAAACACTTCCTGCTTTTCAATGTTACTATTTTGTTGCCAAGTTAAAGTCTTTGTTTATCATGGTTCTCTTACTGGCTCTGAAAAACAATGGAACTTGTTCTCCCCTTTTTAATATAACAATTGCTACTGCTTTCTTGTCATTTTCCTGCTAATATCCTTTTTCCAGTATAACCCCTTGCAAATTTTTAAAAGTTTGGTTTAAACCTAAAGCTGAGTTTGACTATGTTCTTAAAATGTATTAACTAAAGCTAGATCTAAAGTAAAGAATTCCAAATGAAGAAAAGTAAAAGGAACATCTAATTCCTTATTGTAAATGAGTATGGAAGTGAAATCTTACAATTCATCGTCATATTCCTTGGGAGGGGACACTGCAATGACCAAGTCAATCCAATCCTGCAAAAGAAAGCCTTCATCAATATTAAACCTATGTAAAAGGGGAATCAAAATCATACATTTAAAGTAGGCTTTCCCTCTTAGAATATATTAGGAACATTATTGTTCTATTTTAATATTTATTGCTGCAATCCTTTTCTCAAATTAATTCTTATGGTTCCTGTGAGAACTTTCTGGGGAACAGAGATTGAGCAGATTTCTCCTTGGGAGATTGTAGGCATTATGACAATCTCAGCAAGTGAAAACTGTATTGTTAGCCACCTAGGAAGGCTTCGGCAGTTATAGGCAACCTATAAATATGTGTAAATAAATAAACAAATAAAATAAAGCTGAATGAGATCTCAACCCCCTTGTGGCTGCTCTGGTAAGCCCCACTGTAGCTTCTCTTCCAAGACCCTTCTGGTCTCCTTCCTGTGCACCGGTCACAGCTGTTCAGCCACCACTTAGTTAAGGAAAGATAAAGGGAAGGGCAAGTGTGTACAGGGTGTAGGGAAGGTAGGGGCTGCTGGAGAAGCATAATGAGAAAGAACAGCAATGAGTAACATTTCCTGGTTCAGATTTTTTTTAAAAAATGAGCCAGAGAACTTTAGAGCTTGTAAAACTTGCTTCAGTTTTGGAGGTGGTTTAGATGGGCTTTAACAACTCCCCAGAGTTCAGTTCCAAACCTGGCTGAGGACACTTATGCTAGCATAGCTAGCTTTAAGTGTCATGTCATCTGATACCAATTCATTAATGATAGCAAAGGCTTAACTTTCTAATATTTACCAACTTCTACACAAGCTGGAATTAACAATTCAATCAACATTTTTCCAAAGAAGATTTTACACTGCACTAGGATGTATTAAGTCAGATAATACTAGGAGCATAAATAATACACTGGCCAGTGATATCGCGTCTGAGAGCATATGAAGCTAACTTATACTGAGCCAGAGCCTATCTAAATTTATTTGGTAACAGCTCTCCAAGCTGTTGGGCAGGAGTCCTCCATCCTCAGTGTCTGGAACTGCTGTGGATTGACTGAGACCTTTATGTGAATGACTTGTACCCACTACAGGCAGGGAGCTTCCTTCAAAGCACTAACATTACAGCCATCTTATCGACATACACGGTTTCCCTGAGGAGTTCATTTAGAATTGTCTGTCTGTCTTTCCAGTCCTATACAAATACACCACATGTGGAAAAAAATACTGGGTTATTAAAACCTATTCAGCAGGTATCTCTCATATTTCAAATAAAATGTGGACTTTTAAAATAGACTTCTTCTGAATATGGACATATGATTTTATTGGCTATTCTGTGCAAAGGCATTTCAGTTTGAAACAGCTTATAGTAAAGGTAAAGGTTTCCCCTTGACATTAAGTCCAGTCATGCCTGACTCTAGGGGGCGGTGCTCATCTCCATTTCCTAGCCAAGGAAGCCAGCATTTGTCTGCAGACAGTCTTCATGGTCATGTGGCCGGCATGACTAAACACCGAAGTGCACGGAACGCTGTTACCTGCCCACTGAAGTGGTACCTTTTTATCTACTTGCATCCCGTTGTGCAGATTCGAACCGGCGACCTTTCGATCTACCAGCCCAGCAGCACAGCGGTTTAAACCAGTGTGCCACCTGCAGTCCCCGAAACAGCTTATAGGCAGCCCTATATTCTCTTCTCATCTGGCCTGATCGCGTTTTCGATTCAAATTTCAAAATCTATTAATTTGTTTGTGGTCTGTTTAAGGCCACAGTCCTATCCTTACTTAGAGGGAATAAATTCCATTAAAATTAGTGGGAATTTCTTCTCAATAAGCATGCTAAGAATGTGAATATTATGTAAATTATTCCCAAATGTTGCAGTTACTGTGGTTGAATGAAAATGGTGCCAATATGGTCTCAGAATTTATTTTTAAAGAATCTGTTTGACATAGAACTGATATTTTGCTCAGCATCCTAAACAAGACAAGCTTATACAAATCCTCCATAGCAAGTCCATACTGGATTGCAGCTCGAAGCAAATTAGCAGCACAGTCCTGAGACAACTCACTGAGTTCAATAAGTATGCGCCCAGCTAAAGGGATATAAGGTTGCTGCCCAAGTTACTGTTTGTGCAGACCTGGACATATTTTCTGATCCCATGTTTTGAAGCTGGGCTAAAGGGAGAGATTAGTGGAGCTAATTTTTAAGGCATGGGTTCAAGCATTTAACAATATAGCATTTTTAGTGTAAAGAATATTTACCCGTATGCTTATTATATCTTTAGTGCTACATCTTAAAGAGTGGCAGAAATATAAAAATACCTGATATGTGCAATCTAGAAAAGCAAATGCCTTCTAACTTACCCCACCCATGTTCCAAGCTTTTGAAAGAGTTGCTTGAGCTTCATCCAGTTTAACATCCAATAATATCTTGCCATTCACAGCCATTATTTCATCCCCTTTCACAATGCCTCCTGAGAAAGGAATGACAAAGCAAAGAAACATTAAATCCCCAGGCATTTACTATTCAACATTATGAAAAATCAAACTGGAGGATCCTGCATAGCAAAAACCATAGACATGGATACCATGTCAAAATATTCGGCAGCATCCAATGCTGCCTGTGTGCTTGCAGGACACTGTTAGTGCGACAGAAAGCCAGTGGTTCCTGAAGCAACCAGAACCAAGCCTACACAGAAGATTCCAGAATGGGGGCAGGTAAGTGGATCTGACAGAAGGGAGGTCAGTAGACATGTCTCACTCTGGAGATTAGCATTTCAACGTATTCCCATGGTTATTTTAGGAAGTGTTGGCAGCAGATCCCACAGAACAAACCACAAAATCAACAGCAGTGGAAATGTTGAATACAGTGGTTTTCAACCACTGGTTTGTGGACTGGTGCTGGTCTGCTGTTGGTCCGTGGGGGGTCTGCATCTCAGTTGCTGCAGACTGGCACAGGGGCTGGCTGTGCTCCACCACCTCTTCCTCAGTTGGCATTGCATTCATGGGGGGTGTGCCGGTGCCATCAGTGGTGGCAGGGAGGGGAGAGACAGCTGTCCCCAGCTGTGGCAAGGTTGAAAACCACTGGGATACTGCACAATGTTAGAGGATGATGATATTGCTGCATTTTCCCCCACCTTTCCCATCAACACATATGATTCTCCCTGGTGCTATTTTATCCTCAGGTTGTTTAGGCTGAGAGATAATGACTGGCAAAAGGTCATTACAGTGCACAGGTATGCACGCTGATGCAGAAAAAAGTCCCAACGCTCTTAAGAGCTAGCCATGAACTGGACTGTATCATGGCTGGATCTCCCTAGCTGCCGTCTATCTCCCTAAGCACTGCAACATACTGATGTTTAAAAGTGAAAGCAGGCACCAAACAATGCAAACACATTTCTTAAGCAATAGGCAGTTAACATTTCTATGCATGCTATAATCAACACTATAGAAGTTTTTTTGAAAGGCAGTGTCCATTAAAAGATGAATGTATACTGCACAGTAACTATTATACTGTACCATACTATACTGTACTATAATATACTATACGCTCTCAATACCCCGAAGTTATTCATGACACAAGGCAGTACAATAGCCACATCAACAGAAGCTACAGGAACTCATTTTGGGCTTTTTAAAAACCCTCTGTACATTGTTATTAAGTGCTAAAATGACAATGTTCGTATTATAGGAATTGAGGTTGATATCTATCTTAAATGCTGATGTATTCAGTTTATTCTTTCTAGTCTTTGCTTGAATATATGAGAGGTTTGGGTAACTACCTTTATTATCTCATGTTTTATTTGGATGTGAATGTATTAATAGTTTAATGTTAGTTTAATGCTGCAATTTAATTGATGGAGTTTTGCCCGTATGTCTCAGAGCATTCAAAATTGCCCGAGGGGAAAAGTTTATGTATACAACATTTGTTAATTAAAATTTTAATCTATACAATTAAACAGATTACTAGGCAGATTACTTCTTAATTTAGACATTTTGGATTCCAAACTGATAGAAAAAATTATCGATTTTTCCAATGAATAAAATGTACTTTCCCCCAAGAATTCAATTTCTGAAAGGAATTCTGTAAAGTTTAAAAATATGCACAACTTTGTCTGGAATTGTTAATTTTATGAACAATAGGATTGAATTCATTCTGTCTTTCTTCATAGCATCAACCCACCATGCTTGTCTGCAGCACCCCCCTCATAAATGGCTGACACCACTATTTTTCCAACTGGGGAATCGATACCTCCTTCTACTGCAAGATCTAATGATCCTTCCTGTTAAAAGAAAATTTGATTTAGAAAAAATGTTAAAGAAAAGTACCTTTGTAAAAAGGAGATGTTAATCACTTTGGGGGTACCATGCTGGGATACAGATGGTGAGAATGTAACTCCATTGAATTGCCTAGACTTTTCGGGTCTTTCAATACCATTGGCCATGATATCCTTCTGGATTGTCTTCCTGAAATGGGATGCTGGTCTTATGGTGACTCCAGTCCTTCTTGAGAAGAAGGTAATTCTGGGGGACATTTATTCTACCTTTTGAACATTGACATGAAGGAAGCTTCAAGATTTTATCTAATCCCCATTTTTTTTCAACGTCTATATGGAATTGCTGGGAGAAGTTGCATGAAGATTTAGGCTTAGATGTCAGCAATATGCAGATAACATCATACTTCTATTTTCCATCATCTAATCCCAGGAAAATAGATGAAAACCTAAACATGCGTCTGGAATAGATGACAACTAACGAACTGAAGCTTAATACACAGAATATAGAAATACTTTGAGTTGAGAAATCTGCCGATCTGGACAGATGGAAATGAATGACTCTTTAAATGATCACTTTAGATATCCTTATAGATTATGACTTTAGAAACAAGCTTAACTGTTGCGCTCTTCAGGTTGGGCAATCTATATACCTGTGTTGGTACTGCAGCGCCATTTTCAGAAGTGCCTGCATTTTGTAGATGCCAAGTTCACCACCTTTTGTACATTTGGATTAGCACGAGCAAAAGTATCTGATGTTTCCTTAGAATATTGGGTGATTTAGTTTTTTATACTGTTTGATTTTATCATATTATACATTCATATCTTACTCAGTAATTGGCACCTCAGTAATTAACACTCTTTATTCATCCTAAAGATATCTGTGAAGTTCTAATACACGCAAAATCCTTGCATAACCTCTGGGTTTGTAGAAGAAGCATTCAGTACATTCAATACGAAATGAGTATTGATCTTTAGCACTATTTTTTTTGAACATGAATATAAGAGTCATATTACATAGAAAGGGAAAGGGCTTGATAGAACTTCTCCAGTTATCTTCTTCCATCACAAACATTACCTTCTTAATACGTAGCAGTCGTACATCTTTTCCCATAATCTGATCCGGTGAAAACTAACAGAAATGAACAAATATCAGTAAGTCACCTCTACTTTTTCAAATGCATATGGCAGTATATACAATGTGAGATATGCAATTTAAATAAATGAATATCATACCTTCTGGAGCTACTCTCTGTAGAACATGTCATGTTGCTAGATTACACATTATTTCCGCTTTAGCTAAAAAGCTGAAAATGCCACTTATGTCAAAGGCAACTTAAGAAACAAGTCACAAGAATTTTTTTTCTTACCATTGTGTAGGGATCAAAATCTTCCACATATTTCTGGAAGCCCTGAAAATAAAAACTGGTAATGAAATGCATGCATAGGAAATTATAAAAACAAACAAATCAAAAATAGGTTGCCAGGTGAGTAAAGCCAGAAAGGAAGTGAGGTGGAGGTATATCATACACAGTTTGTTCATGTTCCTCCTGACAGTCAGAAGATGTATAAAACTCTTTAAATTGTTACCACTGATCAGGATGCAATAGTCACAAACACTTTTCTGGGGAAGTTTACGGAATTCAATGAGGCCACTTAAGACTTGGTTGTTGTCTATTTACTTTCATCTAGCTGAAGTGAAGGGCCCATGCAAATGAAACTAAAATGAATACTTGCTGAATTCCAGTGACATAATTAGGCCAAGATAACATGTAGGGAGAGCAATGAAAATGGAACTGCAGGGCTGGCTCCACAAAAAGCAAAAACAAATCCTGGAAAACATTTCCACAAAGCTTTTATCTTACATCAGTGTTCATTCTGCAAACATTTCTTAAATGTCCTTCCTAAAGCTAATCCAACTGGCTTTACTGGACATCTTGATCATTCCAGTGAAATAATGAGGCTGAGGATGAATCTATCATCTAGTCTCTTCATCTTGCATAACGCTGGCTTGAATCCCTTTGCCACAATTACACAGACATCTAAGATGGCTATAAGACAGCTGCTCCATACGCCACAATACATTTACTTATTTGTATTGGTTTCAAAGCTATCATTTGTGTTTACTACAATACAGTATTTGTACTGCAATCAACAAACACAATCCAATGTTTCACTAAGCACACATTTAGGAAGTTACTCTCATCAGAGAAATAAATAGCAATGCGATTGCTGCAAACATTTGTTGCTGTTTTATTCATTTTCATTAAATGAATTTTTACTGTGCTGTTTTCCCACTCTCATTAACTTTCTCTTTCTCCCCCTCAGTCTGGCAGGATTTCTAGATTTCCGGTTTCTGATTTCACAGGTTCTGCATTTGTTCTTTGGGAAGTAAGTGGGATTGCAAAATATTTTACTTGCAGATAGCACACTTAACGTTGTGCCAATAATTTATTTATTTATTAAATTTGTTTAAAGCCACCTGTTAGCAACATTCTCTCTTGGCAGCCAATAATGTGGCTAATAATACATTCCGTAAAGAAAACTATAACAAAGCTGAAGCAGACAGATACCCTCTATTAGGAGGCATAACGTCAAGCAAAAGTCCTAGGACTGGGAGTTGTAATTTGAGCAGAGGCACTGATTCTCTTGTGATTTAAGGCAAATTGCTTTATCTTCTTTAGCTTTGAGGTTATAGCAAACAGATGTTATCCCTGAAGAATATGTTCCTGGGAAAATATGCTTTAAGAAATAATAAATACAATACCTTTAAGCAAACACACTCTGAATACAATAACCAAATACGTGCCACTTCAGTACAAACACTCTGAAATGTTTTTAGTGCTTCTGGGGAAAGTGCATCCAATTTTTCCACAATGTACCCTCAGGTCTTTAACCACCAAGCAATGCTGAATTAAAATGCAAACTGCACAAGTATTTTGCACAGCAAAAGAAGAAACCACTTTCAGAGGAGCTCTAGGCAGGAAGCCCACAGCTTGCTTCCTTTACTTAAAGATTGCCACAGACTATTTCACAGACTAGAGGATATATTAGATGGAACTTTATTAACACTATTTGACATTGCATATTTTTAGTGTTTAGGCTGCATGTTTGTGTGTCTTGGCAGGGGTGTGTTTGAACTGGTTCAGGACCTTGGTGTGTGGAGGAAGGTATTTTAAAGCCTTTGGGCTCTCCAGGCCTGCTATTCATACTGGGAAGAAATCTCCCACTGGCACCAATGTGGGTTTTCCTCCCACTGCATATAGCAGGCATGAGGAGGCCCAGTCTGGACCACAGTAAGGGCAAAGGATTACAGCCTCTCTTGCATCATGCCATAGTCCTGATCAAGCTGCACAACATCATGCAGGAGTTGTTAAACAAACAATACAACAAACAAACAAGCAACAATCATACAAGGCCGAACAACATGAATGACTTGCATCATTGCTCAGTTGTATCCATGTGTTTGCAGAAGTAAGTCCTGCTGAGTTAGATAACAAACCCCAATACCAACCCAGACAAACACATTATTGATGGTGAACCAAATTCCCAGGCCTTTCACAAGCAAAGCAAAGCGAAGCGAAGCGAAGCGCAGCTGCATTTGCTTAAGTCCAACTCTGCTTTGAATTTCCATTCTCCTGGGTACTAATAAAGGTGTTTGCACCACTGTTTTAAAATGTCTCATGATATCATGGGATGCCACATTAAATTGTTTTTACAATGTTGCCTTTCTGAAATATACGAAGTGTTTGGATTGGACAATGAATGGCAATTTAAAAACGTTTCTTACGAAGTTGTAACATAAAAACTAGTTATATATATATCAGTACGAAAATATTCAGCAAAATAAAGTTTTTAAAAGCCCAGTTCAAGTAAAACTTAATTCTTGCACTCTGTCATTATTTTATTTAGCTTACTTTGTCCAGTCAGGGACTCAAAAGGGTAACTCATTGACAAATAGATAGTATGAATATTCTGGGTGGATTCAAGGAACCTAATAACATTCAATTACTTCTGAAGTCACAGGAGTGTAACAATTAGTCAGCGTGGATTGCACGTTGGATTGCACATTCTTCCATTGCACATTCTGTTCAGCAATTTGTATTTTGGGAACAAGACAGTACTAAGTGAGGAAAACATGCAGCTGCTGTGTTTAAATACAAAATAACAAGGCATGGCTATCATGCTATACCAACACAACAGGCATCTAGGAAATTAAGGGTTTTTTCCTTAAAATATCGTAATATTATTCTAGCATTTATACGTAATTTCTCAATATGCTAACAGGATGTACATGCATTTGTCAAAGAGGTATAGAGCATGATTTTAAAAATGCTATATTGCACTTTCAGCTCAAGAGACATGAAAGTGAAGAAAAAGTAGCATCAAAACAAAATTGAAATGCATGAACACCACACAGAGAAGTGTTATTTTACTTGTTTTTTGTTAGCTTTAAATGATGAATTGTAAACCACCATTCTTTTAAACATCTCTTGAGGCTGAAAAAAGAAAGAAAGAAAGAAATTGCAGAGTAGCAAACACACAGAGATGAATGGCCTTCAATTTTAAATATTCTGATCATATAGTCAAAGTTAATTACACTTAAGATGCAGTTTGCTTTGTGTATGTAGAGCTACCCTTGAAGACTATTTAGAAATTGCAAAATGTGGCAGACAGATTAATAACAGGGACCAAAAGGATCAAACACTTAACAACAATTTTGGTCCACTTGCATTGGCAGCCTATACGCTTTTAGGCCTGGTTTCAATCCATAAAGCCCTACCTAGCTTGGTACTAAATTCTTCAAAACACAGAACTAGTTAGTTGAAAATTAACTGATATTTTATGTATTCAATTTACAAGGAAGACAAAAACATTTTTTCTCATTGTGACCTATATTTTATCTGTAGTGCATCAGTGGTAAAGAAGCTGATCTTTGGTTAATTCCTAAGAAATTCCAAGTTACTTGGCTGTGCTGTTCATTATAATCTAACAAACTGAATAAAAAACCCCCATAGAAATAAATAAAGAGGATCACAGTAATTTTATGTTGCTATGACACCATCTTTACTGAAATTGTAAATGTCACTTATTATGAGTGCCAACTGTTACATTGGAGTTATTCCTTAATTTATCTTAAATTATTGTTTCTAGTGAATATGGATCATTTACTACAAGGATAGGCAACCAGATGCCCTCTATTTGTTAAACAATTCCCATCATCCATCATCAATGGCCCTTCTAGGTGGGGCTGATGGGAGTTGTAGTCTAACTAGGTTGCCTACTTCTGACTGCCTATGTTGGTCAACCCCACTAAATACAATAGGACCTACTCCCAGGTAAATATTCTTCAAATACAACCTAAATCATATGTTTGCCTAGTGGGCATTACCTTGGGGAACCTAGTTATAAATATCAGGGTTTCTTAGCCTTGTCTTCTGGATGATTCTAGATGGTGTATGTCTGACTAAGCTCCTTCCTACCTAATTTGTCCCATGAAGGAAATGAGAAGTGGAGCCACCTCTTTCTCCTTGAGTCGTTCTACAGTACTGTGAATACTGTTCTTGCCTTACAAAGAAACGTCAAGAAAAAGCAGGTTGCTTACCTGTAACTGATGTTCTTTGAGTGGCCATCTGTGCAGTCACACATATGGGGTACTGCGCCTGCACAGTGCCTGTGGCTGGAAGATTGTCAGCTAACGGTTTCTGGAGGGAAGCTCTGCTCCCCCTCCCCCCTGTGGCCTATAAAGAGCGGAGCGTCCGCCATTTTGTTCAGTCTTTGCGACCAAACGTACACCACTTTATGGAAAAAAACTTTGGTTTTTTTTGTTTTTTGAAGTCAGTACCATAAAAAAAGGCATGGTCGGTACCGAAAGATGCATCCACTCACCGACACCGAGCAGGGCTGGTGGGTGGGTTGTGTGACTGCACAGATGGCCACTCGAAGAACATCAGTTACAGGTAAGCAACCTGCTTTTCTTCATCGTGGCCTCTGTGCATCACACATATGGGTAGATTAACAAGCTTACCATAAAGGAGGAGGGAAGGTGTCCTCATTGAAGAACAGAGGAGAGAACAGCTCTGCCGAAGGAGCGATCCCATCGAAACATCGAGACGGTAGTGCCTGGCGAAGGTGCAAGGGTTTGCCCAAGTAGCGGCTTGGCATACGTCATCAATTGGGACCCCGGATGCGAATGCAGACGAGGTTGCAACAGCTCTAGCAGAATGGCCTCGAGGAACTGAAGGCAGTTCGAGCTTAGCTAATGGATAGCATAAGACTGTAGTGTGCACTATCCACTTAGAAAGTCTCTGTGGAGTGACTGGATCGCCCTGATCCCTAGCAGAATATTTGATGAATAGTTTATTGGATCATCAAATAGACTCCGTTCGCGATTGGTAGAAGACTAAGCAAC